AGCATGGACTTTTGGTTACCTGCAACCAACTGACTATCTTCGTCTAATCAATTTCCAAGAGGTTTTCTACAATCCCAGTCAATAGCATACTCGCATCCTGACTGTGTACATTTGAAGAACACATCTTTACAATACTTCCCACAAACACTGCATTTAAGATATTCATGGTAATAATCCTTCTTCACAAAAGCGAGAGGGTGCTCATGAAAACCGTACTTGCGAGTCAATCCAAGCTTCAGAAATGGATACTTGCCAAGAGCACACAAGAAATGAGCAGAATTATCACAGATTCCACAATAATAAAACCACTCATTTGGATCTCTTGATTCTTCACAAATATCACAGACGCATTGATCCGAATGAGGATGAATATTATTACGGTAAGTGAGTACCAAAGGATGTTCATCATTCTTGTACCGGGCTGTATTCAGCATCACAAGACGTGTGTAATCCAAGGTGAAATGATCACATTCCTTGCGTCTGCATATAAAGGCCCCATATTTCTTATGCCCGTCATCACAAATACTACATTTGATTGTAATTTTATGATCGAAGAAGACCTGGTGCCTATGTCCTGGAGTGGTGACGGCGTCAGGAATTAGAAAACATGAAATGCAATAGTCCCGATCCCTTACATCATTGGTGTAGAAAAGGCCAGTACCGGTAAAACAACATAACTTACAAATGCAATATGTGTAAGATTTAAGAGCAAAGGTGTCCTTGGAATCCCAATGTCGTGTCTTTCTTGGTAACTCAGCACATCGCTTGTGAAGGATGTAATTGCATTCAGCACAATAGTAAAATGAAGTTGAGATGGACCGCCTGCAGCCGTCACAACATTTTTCACCTTTAACATCATCACAAAGTATTAATTTGCATGGATGGTTGAAGTGTTCAATCTCAATGGCTATTACTTCCTCTCCAATTTTCTTTTCCTTGAGAACACGAGTAATAGAAGGTTCTCCAATTAACCACCCCAAGTTTGTTTGATTGAGATTTTGATTTTCATCTGTCACCTCATACTCTTGGATGAAAATATCTTTGTCCATTGCACAATTCACATGAACAAAGTAATCACAATCTCGACAATGATAGCACCCATACTCTGTCTTGATTTCATCCTGACAAATTCTACAACCCCTCTTTCTGACTTCTTCTTCGAGGAAATAAATATGAGAAACTGGATGATCATGCCTTGTTATCAAGATGTTCTGTGGGAGTGAAATGCATTCCTTATGAACTACAATGTCACATGCAGAGCATACATAAGGAATGCAATACTCTCCATCAGTACCACAAGCATCACAAATGAAAGAAAATGGTCTTGATAAAAGGGTAAATGGATGCTCATGATTCTTACTTTTGATCACATCTTCAAAGAAAGCATACTTAGGTTTAATGCCAAACTCACAAGGAGAACAGTAATAAATAAATCCCTTACAAGGTTTGCAGCATAACCGGCAACAACATTTCTCGTGATGAGCTGGAGGATTGGCTAAAAGAGTGAGAGGGTGTTTGCGGTGACTAGGGTGTTTGATCTTAGGGTGTAACTCAAAGCATTTCTGATGAAGGAAAAAAAGGCAAACAAAACAGCCATAAAATGGACCTAGTATCTGCTCTTCACATGCAGAGCAAGATCGATCTCGGGGTTCAATATGGTGGTTTTGAATGAAGAAGAGTGGATGTTGATGGCTAAAATGTTGAGACTTTGGTAAATCTCGAGTAATCAAGTTTGGAAGCAAAGCACATCTAATGTCAAGGTCAAAGGCACAAGAAGAGCAATGATAAACAAATAATTGCTCACCTAATTTGTATGATTTTTCGCAGGAATCGCAATGCCATGAATTGAAATTGGCGTTACCCGGCTGCTTATCGTAAAGGATGAGTGCATGGTCGAGGTGAAAGGGATGATTGATCTCCCTTGGTAGCTCAGCACAAGACTTATGAAGACAAAAGTCACACTCTGAGCAGTTGTAGCTGAAACCCTCCACCCGTTCTTGACATGCTGAGCAGTAATAAATTATACTAATCCAATCAATCTCCTGATCTTCCACCAGCACCAAAGGGTGGGGATGACTAAAATGATTAAGCTTCTTCATATCTCAACAGAAGATACTGATGAGTGTATGTGAGGGAGGGAGGGAGGAGAGAGTAGAGCGCTTATTAATCAATTTGTGTTTTAAGTTGGATTTGATTTTGAAGGAGATAACAAATAAGACTGCAGCAGCAAATGATCAGAAATTAGTCAATTTACAACGTCAATAAAAGATGAAAACAAACATCACAGTTGGGTCCCACCTCCATCGTTCACGCTTTAATGGTTTCTTTTAGCTATCAGCGTGAAATTACTTTAATGATTCCAGCCTTTTGATTATTTAAGTATCGAAAAGACAATTTTATCCAAAAAAAGTGTAGAAAAGACAAAAGGTCAGCTCAACCAGTGTACAAACTAATTTTTACTTCTTAAACTCAAACTTTTAAGTCCCTGAATTTTTCTTTACAATTAAAAAAAAGTCCGTAAAATTTTATCATAGGTACACGTCAATGATAAATTTTCAATTTGTCAAACATTATTCTTTTTATCAGCATTCGTACAAAAGGAAATGTGGACATTAAGAAAATACAATAAGTAAATTATATCCATTTTAAGTGAAACACCCTTTAACATTCTTTAAAACTTGTTGGTTAACTGTACGAACAAGAATTCAACTGAATAATTTTTGTTAATTTAAAATTTTAATTTAAAATTAAAATTAAAAAAATTAAATTTTTATATAATTAAGCAACTAACATTTTTAATGTATTAAAAAATTCTTTGAACTTGTTTTATGTATCCTAAGACAAAGAAGTCGAGAAAGAATCTCATTTCGTCATAGAATGAACACCATATGAAATGGTTAGATATCCACAACTGGAGTATATCTTTTTCTTCCTTCCCCTTCCCTTTCTTCCGCTCTTTCCTTCCTCGATTTTCATTTGGTTTAAAGATTTGAACCAAATTAACTATAAGAACACGATGTGGGGTCAATAATATTGGAATGGGCAACGTGTCATAGTCTCTTTTTCTGCTGCACATTCTATGGCATGGCTATTATTTCCAACGGCTTGTAAATGATTCTCCCGTGTGTTTTCTCCGCATACCTCAACTCGCTGCGAATCTTAAGGGCAAGCAAGGTTGTTTTAGAGCACATCTCATTTTGGTCTTTCTAGCTTGTTGATTTTAATGAAATTCGAAAAGTATAGATGAATTCATTGGGTTTTTTTTTTTTTTATTAAGATCTTTTCATAATTTATTTTGCCTATTTAGATATAGAGTTTATCTAATTTAATACAATAAATATATTTTTTTATAATTAATTTA